TTAAAAGGAAAAAAGGCCAACAGGAATGCTGAGTGCAGCCATGTTATCCTTTGTGTCCTGAGCCTGTCTCTAATGTGGCTACAGCATTTAGGGAAGATTACTTTTTAATGTGAAAACTGCAGGCTCAAAAAGGAAGAAATTTAATTCTGGGCAGTCTCCAGCTTCTGCTCTCACTTATTTGTTCTTGGGTTTTTTTTGGTGAGGATGAGGAAACAATGAGCCTAAATTGTGATGTGAATTTAAAAAACAGAGAACTGGTGCAGTTTTGTTTGTCTGACTTCTGCAGTAAGAGAAGCCTTGTTTCCAGAGACTGGAACATAATGGTATTGCTTCCAAATACTGCCTGAATAATGTTCCAAGTTCCTCTGTCACCCACTTCCAGTCCCAATAAAAATTATGTATGAATAACAGTAGTGGATACCACATCTCTTTCAAACCCCAAACGCAAGACATGCTTCCTGAGTGAGGATGTTATAAAAAACAAAAAGTAAATTGAGGAAGTGGCCATTACCATGGAAAATAGAAGAAAAAAAACAGAAAAAAGAAGAGCATGTAAACCTGTTCTAACCACTCATGCAAAGAAGACAAAATATCCACAGCTAGATGAAGGCTCCAAACAAGAACTCTCCTCACCCCACAAATGTAGTTTAAGAAGTTTTGAGCTTTTCTTTTTACTGGTAGAGCTTGATCTATGTCTAATGGTAGCCCTTACACATCCAGTGCTGTGACATTAAGATTTGCCTGTCCAGGCTTTTAGCTCTCCCTCTCCAGAGAGGACTTGTGGGACACTTTATCCAGAACCTTTTGCAATCGTTGTTTGACTCAGTACTTGACCCAAGGGCAGTCTTTCAGTTTGTAGAGTTCTCAGAGACAGAGGAACTCTGCATAGCATTTTAAATCCCTGGGAGGAGATGTGTTTAAAATCAAGCATGAACTGTGTGATCTGATTTAGGTGTTCCTGCTCCGGCAAATTGATCTTTCTAGGTCCCTTCCAATCTCTAACATTCTGTGATTCTGTGTTTTGCTTGGCTCCAGTGAATTTTTGGATTCCATATGTCATCTGATCTCAGTTTTTTTTTATCAAAGTTAGCCTTTTAATAAGGCAACTTAAGAATTTCCACAGAAACATCCATTTTCAGAATTTGGGAAACTCAAACCCTTTAATTTTTTATGGTTTGGTTTGGTTTTGTTTTAAATGAGTGCCATTTAGAGGTAGTGGATACTTGATAAAACAAGCTGAGCACATTCAGATATGGTGTTGAAGAGTAACTTTCCCAGGTTAGTGGATAAATATTGTGCAGTACTAGATCTAATTTCTCTGGTATACCACGGAGACACTTAATTCCTTGCTCCAAATGAACAGCAAGAAAGCTACTCTTCTGAGGAAAGCTGGCATGTAGACAGTGTTATCCTTTTTGTAGTGTCACCCATCCCACTCCTGGTGAATGTTCTCTTCCGAAGGCCAGACAGAAAGGCAGCATTCTCATTCCGCATCCTGGGGAGACACCCACACACAGAGATGCTCTCATCGAAGATATTTTTCTTTGTCTCTCATGACCAACTGAGTCAGCACCTAGTCAATAGCTGGCAAATCTCATGCCTTACAAACAAAAAATAGGTCACCACAAATCCCACGTGAGGATAAAGCCCACTTGAGTTCTCACCTAAATTGAGGGCGGAAGTGAGGAATAAGACCAAGAGGTGTTTATTTCTTCTTCTTTGTTTCTTCTGTCCTCTTAAAACCAGAGATGTCTCTTCTGGTGACCCAGGATTGACAATCTTAGCTTTTTCTTTTGTTTATCTGCAACTATCTGCAACACAGTCATTAAGCTAATAACTGCTTGTTTTCCAGACCCCTTAAAAAAGAAGAGATAAATTTCATCAGAGTAGTAGCACTGGAAATTCTACATGCAGTGAGCTCAAAAGACTGTCCGCATCCAAACAACAGCTTCTTTCTAATTTTTTTTAGAAACCAATTTCTCCAGTTGTGAGCAATGTTATTCTATTAGTGTTGATGGGTCTGCTTGTTTGAAATACAAAAAATGACCTGGGTGCTGGCCAGGGCTGCACAGAGTTCTTTGAGCTCAAAGTTTTGAGATAATCTCAAATTAAGGATTTGCTGTTTGTTTTCTGTTTCTTTTTAATTCGTTCCTGGTTTTATGCTTTTTCAATCTTGTAGTTACGCTTTGAGCAAATTCAGTAAGAAGTTAATCGGTTGAATAGATCAGGATCTTTCATGTGATGCATCTAGGGTTTGGGTGTTTTTTAGACGATGGAAGCTCATCTTAGCAGTTATTATACTAAACTGATGTAAATGTTTGGAAATTAATCATTTGAACTGTGTCAGAGCTATTCCAGACTTTCTGTTCTAGGTCAGATCTTATCAGATGTATGCTAATTTATCTACATTTTCAATAAGTAGTTTTCATGGTTACTCAACAATGTTATACCATCTTTTCTTGGTGAGGACCTTTTCCATGCTGACACAGCTGTTGAAAAGAAACAAAGAGTCTGAGATAGAGATTGGACTGTAGCCTGTCCACTTATTTTGATGCGCTCTGGCTCTGGTTGATCTTCTACAGCTTGGTTTAACCTTTTTTCCCTATTACCGCTGCTCATAGCTCTTCAAACCCTCACTGCTCTCTGGGTCCATCATCTTAGTGTTTCTAGCCTACCTCTGTTTACATTAATATGAAAGTTAATGCCCATTTGGCCTTGTATCAGCATTATCCTCAGGTATAAATAGCTCTTCTTCATGGATTAATTTATAAAGATCATGCCTTGCTCTCAGTCCTTGTTTATCGCAGTTTATTTAGTCTCCTCTTGCATGATGGGCTCTTCACTCCCTGATGTGCCTCGCAGAACCTCCTTTGTATCTGCTCCTGTCTGAATATTTCTCCTTCCAGCAAAGTATTCAGAAAAAATTGTGACTTGGTTATAGACATAACAGACACTTCTCAGAGGTCTTCCAAAACAACCATGGCAGATCTGGAGACAGCCAAACATATCCTTCTCCTCTTTGCTTTGATCATTAGAATTTGCTTCTTATGATTTAAATTCCAATGTTTTACATTCTGCAACTTGTCAGATTTGGCTTCTCATCTTTCTTAGCTGGACCAGGGCACCTGGTGTTTTGACAGCATGTATTGACTGATATTGTCTTTCTTTTCCAGGGAGGTTCAGCTTTTTCTCCAGCATCTATTATTACTAAAAGGAGAGCACAGACCCAAGCAGCAGTCCTGGCTGAAGATATGGGATGCCCTTCATCCACCAGTGAGGAAATTGTTGCCTGCCTCCGCCAGTTGCCTGCTCATGTCCTCAATGATGCACAGACTAAGGTACACCATAGCAAAATATATGCCATTGGCAAGGAATCAAAAAGTTTCCATTGACATGAAGCTGTGAGGAAGCTATAAAAGATAAATTGGACTGAATCCTTGTGAAAGAGGCACTGGGCTAGCTTTGGTGGAGTGATGCTGATGACTGTGACATCCACCTTTCACTTATGAATACTCATAACTTCATCTTCCTTCAGACTAAATTTCTTTTGCACTACTTTGACCACATCTTGCAAAATTAATCTAAATATGATTTTTGCCTTCTTTCAATCTCCTCTCATCTGCCATGGGTGTTAACCTAGAGGAGAATTAAGTGTCTGTAGCTTTGGTAACTGCATTTTTGCAGAAAAGGAAGTGGGGAGGGGTATCAATGCTCTGTCTCTTAAGTGTGCGACTTGTGAACGCTGCAGTATGAAGAATTCTAGAGAAGGATCCTTTACCCACAGATTAAAACACTCACTAGCAATACATTTTCTGATTAGGACCAGCATAGAGCCAATCCCTCATTTAAAGCAATATTTTTATAAGACCATCAATTCTATTGGCCTATTCAGCTCATTTCAGCTACTGAGACTATCAGCAAAAACACTGTTTCCTGACAATGGTGAGTTTGCACTTACATTAATTGATCACTTGTTCACTTGAAGGCTACCGGCTTGGTTGTTTGAAGTATAAGTAAGATGGAAATGACTAGGGTAAGCTAAGTTAACTGCATTACTATTGCTTTTTTGCTAACCTAGCTCCTAGCTATAAGCGGCCCATTCCAGTACTGGGGTCCAGTGATTGATGGAATTTACCTTCGGGAACCTTTAGCTAAAGCCCTGCAGCGCCCTCAACTTCAGAAAGTAGACCTGCTCATTGGAACTGCTCAGCAAGATGGGTTGATCAGCAGAGCTAAGGCAATTAAGGTAGGAAAAGACTCTCTGTTAATTAACTGATGGTACTGCTGTTATTATGGTGATGGCAGCAATCATACGCAGCCAGGACAGATGCTTTTTGATCTCTACGATTTGTGAATTATACTCCATGCAAATATGCAAAGGTATTGTCCATCTCCAGGCAGTCCTGTTTAGGCTGGTTAATGGCATTATTGTATTTGTTGTTTAATGTTACTGGGGGAGATATGAAAAGGTAAAAGATTAGTAACTATATAGCATGTATTAATATGCAGCAGTATGTTTTACTGCCTCTAAAATCCTATTAAATTGCAATCTCCATTTACAAGGAAGAAGGCAAGTTCATAACTTGGTTATGAGGTTCTTCACTGTGTGGCAGGGCTAAGTCAGTCTTTTCCGTGACAACATGGTTTTTCACAGCAAAAAAAAAAAAAAAAAATGTTGTTGCCTTTAAGAAGTATATTTTCTTGTTAAGATGATTCTGACTATAGACTAGCTATGACAAAAAATAGCACTGGCCTGATGTGTGGACTAAGGTTTCAGGGAATAAAATGGTGAAACGGAAAAGAATTGTGTCCATGCTGTATTTTGGACATAAAAGTCCTCAAGAACATGAAGGCCTGCCCAGAGGGATTTTATGTCTTCTTGTGAACCCTGTGGCACTGTCTGTTCTTGAAACAGCATATCAACCTCTTCTAGTTCATTTGTCCTTCTCTACTATGGGTACAATAACGCTTCCCTGTTTAACCCTGCCAAATTAAATTAAATGTTCCGATGTGCTCAGATACATGCTAAGAAATCAACAGTAGAATGTAACAAGGCAGGAATTATTTTGAGGGTTATCTAAGTGACTGCAGGTCTGTTGCTGTCTTTCTGTAACAGCGTGGATTTAATCTCTCAGGAGGCAGTGAAAGGTCAGCCCCAGATTCTCTTTGCTGGTAGCCAATAACACACAGACCAATTTACTTCAGAATTAATGATGAAATTACTCCTCTGAAAGAAGGCTTTTTGACCCACATCAATAAAGTTTGTATTGCTTGTTTAGTCTCCATCAGAAGTTTCCTGCTCTTACTTCATGTATCTTTCTCTTTGGAATCAGTTAAAAGAGGAAGTCAGGCATAGGAACTGGACACTGATGCTGGAGGTCTGCAAATACTGATCCAGACCCTGTGAGAGGAATAAACCTCAGTAACCTCATTACGTGTCATGTGATAAAGACTAGGAAGTGAAATTCTTTCCTCTACCACTATTTCGACATGTGATGGTTGTCTGCAAAACCAAGATGAAATTCCATGCTGTATTAGAAATTATGCAACAAAACATGGTGTTATTGAAAGCCACAAGTGCTAAAAGCCAGCACTGTCAGGTTGAAATTAAAAGGAAAAACACTTGTAACTGAGAGCTCAGTAGTAAACTGTTGCCTTTCCAAAAAGAAAATCTGGAATATCTTCTTTATTTAAAGGCTTGCAGAAAATAAGATTGGAAGGGGATTCAAAAAGTTGGTGCAAATCAACCCTAAGAAATGGTCATGTCTACCTCAACCTGAGAGACCTGTTTTAAAATCTCCTACTGGACATCTTCTGATCTCCTTTGGCAATGGGTTTAACTATCCTTCCTTAGAAAGACAGTTAACTTTTGACTAGCTATTATAATAGTACCTATCTTACTTGGTGCTGCTGCTCTAAGCCAGATTCTATCTCTGTTCCAGAAAATTCATAATGTTCACGGTAGGTGGTTATGTTTTGTTTTCTCCCTTTTGACTTCCTTAAGCTTTTTTCATGTTCTCAGGAAGAACTGATGATTTTTTAATGTACATTTTCCTCTATTTCTATTTTCCTGTATCTTCAGATTTTTAGGGCTTGAGGGAATAAGACTGTTTTGACCAGTCTGTATTACTGTCTTCAGATTGTTTTCTGAAAGACTTGCTGCAAGGTTAAAGTTTCCTATTTCTTCCTTGCCTATACAGTTAATGTATTAATTGCTGGGAAACTGCAATGCTTCCTTTGTCATTGAGCTACTTAAGAAAACACATTTTCCAAGTCCTCAAGAGCTGTGTCATAGCCATGACCATGCATAGTTGCAGTCAAAGTCAGATGATAAAGTCCTGAGCAGGCCACAGTATTTAGCTACAGTGGCAGAAACTGGTGCGGGTGGTGGTTGTTACTGAAAGATCTGTGCCCTGTTTCCTCTGTCATAATATCATACGGGATCCTTGATCTGTGCTAACTGTCCTTTCCTCAAAATAGACCTAGAACAGGATTTGAGACAACCCACACTGTCGCACTCTTCTACTTGATTTGTTTTAAGGGTTTCCTTGAGGTAGATCTGACTTGCATCTTTCTGGGAAACCCCAAAGCTAATTTTACTGACATAATAGGGAAGGTGGGAGGGCTTAGGTAGTAGACAGAGCACTGAGCTCAACTCGGGGAACCAAGACATAGTTCCTAGTTTACCTCTGACTACAACCAAGTTATTTAATCTGTTCTACAAAGAGGGGATCAAATCTCATTGGGGTAAAAATTAATCTGTGGATGTGTTCCAACTCTGAACCATGCGTGTACTGGGCACAGCTAAAAGGTCCTGTGGCAAGTGTATGGAATTGGCAGTCCTTCATTTTCATCTCCTTTAGGGTGACTGATTTCAGTGCACTCAGATGCAAAGAGTGGCGAATAGAAAAATTTAACCCCTGCTGACCTGCTCCACCAGTTCCTGGAATAGCTGTGCTGGAAAATTCATCCAAGGGCTTGCTCTGTTAATCCTGGTCTTGCTGTTAATACTGATCCTGTAAATGGTAAAGAGACACTTATAGCCCTTTGGATGCAAGCAGGCTTGAGATGTGATGCAAATATTATCACTTTAGACTGGAGCTGCATGCAAGTTTTATAAACTCTTAGCAGTTGAGTCTTAGGAGGGAGAGTAAAACCTCTAGACTGCGACCAGACCTGGAGGTGGTAAATCCAGTTGTCATCATGTTGTTTTGTCGGGGCTTACTGGTATTTGGTTGTGTTCAGTGTCTCTGTACTCCCACTGCAACACTCTGCTTATGCCTGTGAAGAGTTTTACTATTGAAAATGTAATAGAAAGACAGAAGGCACCACTTATGTGCTAGCAAAACATTTATGTTTGATTTGTTTATGGTTAATGGCTGAGGTCTCTCAGTGATGCTTGAAGCAGGGAGTATGCTGAACATTCGTGCTCAGTGTCTTGCCGATGGAAATGACCATTTTATGACATTCACTTAAAAGCTTATTCATGTGAACTGAGACAGATTTACTACTTCCTGGAGCATTTCGTACTCATCCTCAGTGCAACCATCAGATGCTTGAAACTAAGTGAGAAACAAAGCAGAGTTTGTTAAGGGCATGGTAAGTGGTGCCATAATGCACTGTTGTGTGGCATATGGAGCGTTAAGCCTGAACCTGTTAACTGCAATTCCCATGGCAGACCTTCAGGGATATTAGCTTTGAGCAGTCATGGGTTAGGGCAGCTGAGCAGAAACCTCAAAAAATGTTGATTTCAAGTCCCAGCTGCACATTTTTTTTTTACCCTGTGCTATATGTGATGTTCAGCTGGGACAATCTAATGGTTCATACTGGCATTAAATATACAGAGTCATTCATGCTGATCTATATCCATGTTTGTCTGTATATGCATATAAGTCAGTATGGCCCTGTTTATGTCCTCCATATGTTCTGTGCCTGCTGTGTAATCTCCACGTTGCAAGGACTGTTAACTTTCTTTTTAGTTGGAAGACTAAGGTTGTACTTTATGTGTTTTCTTTCTTTTTGTTTCCCTCCTTAATACAAATGTAGTTGGCTGCAGAACCCAGAACCAAGACATAGGGGAGTGGGTAGATAGAAATCTAGTTTGTCTACCCCATGTAAGCAACTGGATTTATGCAGACCAGATCTTGCATCTTGCACTATATTAGTTAATTTCTTTATGGATAAAGGTATTCCACAACATGCAACAGATGGCAGATATGTGTATATTAATTGTAATGACCAGGGGAACAGTGTCCTGATAAATGCCATCAGTGAGGAGAATGGGCTGATACCAGCTCTGTACTTCATCTTGTAACTAGCTGGAATCTTTGAAATAATCTCCTGAATGGCAGGCAGGTCTTTCACTATCTTTTGTGACAACATTTGTCAAATACCATTTAAGACCTAAGACCTGCACATACTCTGTTATTGTCACTGTTCTAGTTTGTCAGAAAAGTATATTTTGCCCCTTGGGAGATGTAAACGTTTGGTCTACCAACTGCTACATTTTCTTTTTAAATAAAACAGTGGGCCAGATTCAGTCATATGCTCCAGAATAGGAGGAACAAGAATAGTAAGTGTGTTTAGACAATATTTATGACTGATATGACTGTTTATGACATCAGAACATTAGAAAGCGATGCACCTACTGTCTTTTATTATTTTCTTTCTTAATTTCTAAAAAAGCTGAAAACCCCCACTACAAGTCTGAGATCAGTTGCTAACACCTCTTTAAAGGTTAGCAGAATGTAGATTATTTTACATAATGTGCAGATGTTTCTTTTAATCTGGTAGCAGCTGTTGTAACTACTGCTATTTGAAAATTGCTCTTTGGTCATGTATTCTCTAATGGGAAACATTTGTTGGACATGGAAAATTGGTCAAATTGAATCAGTTTCTGAAAAGTTAAAATGCTTTGTCTTTTAATGTTTCATGGGTTTTATTTTGAATTTGCTGCTTTGTTTTGTGCTATCATGTTAAAGTCAGATGTTTAAATTATATTGTATTGTAGCCAAAGCATCACTTGAGACATTGTGTTTCAGATTGTGCTATTTTAGTGCTGGTTGGGATGAATATTCTCAAAATGTCTTACAAACGCCAGTTCTGTTTCTCATCCATCTCTGCCTGTTGAGTCCTCTTTCATCTGATTTAACATCTCAAGGATCTCTGCTATCAATAATTGCTGAGAAAGGTCACCAGAATTTTTGGGGCATTTTGAAGATCACAGAAACTAGTACATAAGCACAGCAAAAACCTAAGACCGACCGCACTGAGTCACATCAAAGCCCCATTTAGCATGAAATGCTGTTTTCAGCAGTGGCTAAGAGTGGATGTTTGCAGGAATACATTAAGCAAATCTGATACTTCTGTTAAATGTTCTCCAAAGCTCTAGCACTTTGCAGGTCAGGGACTTCCTGGCCTGAACTGGTCTTTCTGTAATTAACAACCAAGAACAGAATTACTTTTTTTTACTTCAAAACTTGTTCGTGAAACTTCATCTTCACTAATTTTGGCATCCAAAAAACCATGCGGCAAGGAGTTCTTCAGCGTAACCATGTGTTGTATGATGATCCATCTCCTTCTCTGTGGTTTTCAACTGTAATGTTTATTTGATGCTTTGTAGTTGATGAGGCACTGAAGGATCAGTTCCTAGGGTACATAATCAAGGTCTTTTTCTCTACCTTTTTCTCTCAGTTTTATGTTAGCCATGACAGGTGTAGAATAAGGTAACAAATCCATTAAAAAAACCCTCCAAGAATGAAAGCATTGCATGGAAGTTGCTTCGTACAGGATGTTTTACACATAAGAGCTTGGGTGCTGCATTGACACAGAAAAAAGTCTGTTCTTTTCCATATCTATTAGACAAATCCAACTACTCCAGTCACCAAATCAGAGATTCCTAATTAGACAGCAGCAATGCTTCTGCTGGTTAGTAGGAAGCTGAATTGATATGTGCCAAAGCCGATGGGAAGATTGCTTTTTAATTCAGTGAATCTGCAGTCAGGTCTTCAGCAATAATTTCTGTTTCTTGCAGAAAAATATATGTGTCCTTGCTGTATTTAAACTGAATGATTCTGCAGGCAAGTGTGCTATACAGTTTCATATGTGGCATTTGTGCTCATGAAGTGACGTGTCATGTGTGAGTTGCAGATCTTTTCTGAAATACAGCTGTTTTACTAAAACTGGCACCACGCGACTCTTTTCATATTACATGGGCCAAGATCTATGAAAAGAAGAATTTATTACAAATACAAGGAGAATTGCCAAAATCTTTTCAGACCTTAAGAAATTTGGTAGTGTTTGAAATCTCTTGTAAAGTCACTTAACCAAAATGCACAAAGCATTAGAGTGTGTCAGTAAGGACAGGCCTCGGCTTCAGTAGACGGGAACTTATTTTCCATCCTTCATTTCTGTGAATCTGTTGAAAAGTAATTATTCCCTCTGTACTTTCTGTATAGGGTTGTGGAAAGACCTAGCTGCCTGATGAAAACCAGCTGTGGACCATCAAAATAATATATTCAGTAAAACATCTATGCCAACTGGGCTGGGCAGACACCAGCCTATTTTGCATCAGACTGACTGCCCAAAATAATATAGGTGGTTTATTAGATCTTTCTCTCCAGAGTGCTTATACCAAGCTTCAGCCAGCATGCACCGGTGAGGTGCCCTCTTTAGAAAGGACTTGATCCACGGGAAGGTTCAGCTCTGTTTCTGAATGTGAAATAAATTATTCCAAATTTAAAAAAAAAAAAAAAAAAAGCTGAAAAGTCTGAATTGAAAAAATAGAAAGCTTCCTCAAAGAAAGACATGGTGAAAACTTCCAGCAGTCTTTAGCTTTGTTAAAAATTGGGTTGGGTAAGCAGTTTGACATAGAAGATGGTCCCCCTGCTATCAGTGACATGAGCGCTCTGGTCTGGGGGAAATGCCTTTATGTCAGGGAAGACTTTAGACCACAGATCTCAGGAAAATAACATTTCAAGGTATAACTGTCTGAAAGGCCCTAGGGGTTATGAAGTTTGAAGATCATGGCACTACTTTCATTGGGATTTGGCGGAGAGGGATTTCTCTTCCAGGGCTAAGGCAGGTATTAGTCCAGAAGGGACCTAAGTACAGGCTTTATGGCAGCCACTTTTCTTTGTAGGTGTTTCCAGAAAAGGCAGAGGGATATAGCTATGAAATGAAATGGCTATATGGCATGTTTACTTTCTGGACTTTCCAAAGGAAAGGAGCAATATCTCCCTCTCTCTCCTTTAATTTTCCTGCAGGGAGCTCATCAGAAAGGCAGCATCAGGCACACTCACACTGGACAACTATCCATGTGGGTTACTGGGTTTCTGTAGTATTAGAGCTACATCTGTACAGCACTGTACCTACGATTTAGACTTACCAGCTTAGGGATTCAGTCCTATAGTGTGTTTTGAAGAAGCCAATACAGCTGCTGGTGACAGTCTTGGGAAAGCAAAAGTACAACTGTCCTCTGCTGCTTTGCCTAGGAATCAGAGATTGCAGTAGAGGGGACTCACTCCAGCAGAGGAAAATCTGAGCCTATATTGTTCCATTAAAAAGGTATCTGCTGGTTTTATTTGTAAACTCTGTGTATGCATTTTGTTCTCAGAAATTTGAAGAAAGTCAAGGAAGAGCCAACAGTAAAACAGCCTTTTATCAGGCTCTGCAAAATTCTCTAGGAGGAGAGGACTCCAACTCATTCATTGAAGATGCAGCTACGTGGTATTACTCCCTCGAACACTCAACTGATGATTATTCATCCTTTTCCAGGGCTTTGGAAAATGCCACCCGGTAAGAAACTCATCCTATTACAACTGTGTGATTGGCATTAGAGCAAGGTTTGCTTTGCTTATCTCAAATGCGCATTTAGATTCTGAAAAACTTCAGAAATTCTTATACAAAAGAACAGAAAATGAGAAATATGATTTAATTTTCCATGAGGTTTCCAATGTCATTACTAAAGAGAAATTGAACCGACTTTTAGGCCTTGTGAAAAGTTTGAATTGTCTTTCCTGAACTGTATATTGAATTCAAACTACTAATGCTTCTTTGTGTGCTCTTCCCTGCCAAAGGTATCTTGGTTGTTTGCACACTCTGCATCAACTATTTCTTGAGTCTTCTCATCCTTGTTACAGTAGGAGAACTAATAGACTGGCTTTTATTCACAAATGGTCACCTAATTATATAGTTAGATACTTTTCCTTGTTTTTGGAAATTTGGAGAATGGTCAAGTTTTAAAACTTTGATTTCAGCAATGACATAAATTTTCATATTATGAAACCTGCAAAATGTGTTTCTGCACAATGTCAGGCTTTCTCCAGGTGAGTATCCTGTGTAAAACAGTGAAGCATTTATGAATGTTCAGAAAAGTGGCTCTCAGCCTCATTCTGTGCATTGCTAATCTCCATTTTACCCATGGCAGAAGAATCCCCTTAAGCTTATTCATGTGTTTTCTTGACCCTTGTGTAATCATTTATACCAGTGTACATGGTGAGAGAAAGCAGAATCAGGCAGTAGGAATCTTTTGTAGGAAGTCTTCTTGTGGAGGTGAAAGGAGAACACACTATATCTGACTCTTGTCTTGTTTGATCCACCAGGAACCACTGTAGACTCACAGTGCCTCCCAGCCTCTTTTGAAGGGAATAGTTGTGATAAAATGTCAGCAGATCTATGAGCAACTTACCTCCAGTATATACACTCCCATACTTTGCATGGAAACATTGCATGCAGGGACCATTGCAAAGTGAAAGATGAGCAGTGGCCCATGTTCACACCACCTCATATATATGCATAGCTTCAGCCCTTAAATGTCCAGCAGTTCTGGATAACAGTTTGAAGAGTTCATTGCCTGTTGAACTAGGACTCCACAGCAGTCATGATACCTATGGTAGGGCATAGAGACTGGTGTCTATTACAGAATTGTAGAATGGTTTGGGTTGGAAGAGACCTTAAAGATCATCAAGTTCCAACCCCCCTGCCATGGGCAGGGACACCTCCCACTAGCCCAGGTTGCTCAAAGCCTCACCCAGCCTGGCCTTGAACACCTCCAGGGATGGGGCATCACAGCTTCTCTGGGCAACCTGTTCCAGGGTCTTGTGTCACGTGGTGGTTTGATCTGCTGAGAAGACTGTAGATTTTGCTCTCTGCCCCATGGGCAGCCAGCTTGCTTTAGCCAGTTACAGGTCTTGAGCTGTGGTGGGGCGAGCCCATTTTTCTGAAGGGAGGCAAACTACGGGGAAATCTCCTTACCTCCTTTTTCCTGCCTCTATGCAGTCTTGAGGGCTGAATATTCAAATTGAACAGATTTTCAGAAAACAAACC